GCTACTAGGGGCTCCTGGCATCGCTACTAGGAGCAAGGACGCTACTATGAATATAAGTAACCCTAATTTTGCAGATTTCCACTCTCAAGGACCCAAGTTCTCGTCGTTCCAGGCCTTTGCAGATTAAGGGTACACTGTGGGCTTAGAGTGTAATAACTCTGTGTGTGTGTATATACATATACACACATGTAAAGATATTTGCCTGGTACCCGGTATTCTTGGATTCACAACTCATGGCTTCCATGCTGTACCCTCGCAACTATGCCCAACTCACTGAGGTTTGGTGACATTTTCTCTTCCTTCTACTTCAGCACCATCGCCCTCTCCACGGTCGGCTTTGGGGACATTGCCCCGCTGACGCCCCAGGGCCGCACAGTGCCTTGGCAGCAGGAATCGCAAATGGAGATCCCCCGGTCGTGTAGAATAGGGGTATAGAATAGCTACTAGGAGCAAAGGGCATCGCTACTAGTAACAAGGACGTTATTAGGGGCTCCTGGCATCGCTACTAGGAACAAGGACGCTACTAGGAGCAAAGGTTTGGACGATCTATTCTACACCCTCCCAAGGGCCTCTGGGAGTGAACATTCCCAGATTCTTTCAAGCAAATGAGTTAGGAAGAACACTGGGAGCTGGAAGTAGTATGAAGTAGTGACCTTTTGGTGCTTACAGGCTTACAGGTATTCATCCTTTTGACAGCATGCCTAGGCTTAAGGCGTGTGCTAAACCAACGTTCGAGACGCTCCCAGCTCTGAAACATCCTCCCACGCGACCCCCAAAGCCCTTCCTCTCATTCCTTTGACGACTTGACCCCAGGTGTTTCTTGGACGGAGCTAAAAAGGTACCAACGAACAGACAGCAAAAGGCTACAGTCAGAAGTCTTAAGATATATATATATACACACACATATTCTTGAAGAGTTTCATTGCTGCAACCTCAAAACGAACAGTTGAAGCTGTTTAGTTTAGTATCCATGGCTGGGTAGCACCATTCAAGAACGCCACCTGACCTGTTCAGACCTCACCAACCCTCGTTGCAGCAAAAGATCAACAGGTCATCACTGTATCTGTGATCGTGGGCCTTTGCTTGATCCCCTCAGAGGCGTGGCCATGTGGCCTCGTGTGCCCTGCTGTAAATTGAGCACAAGCCAAAGACATGTTAGTTTTCCAAAAAATCTAGGAACCAAATCATTACTGCGAGCGCTTCTTCCGGGAAGCTCCCCCACCCTCAGGCGGTGGGAGCTTCGTTGAAGAAGCGTGAGCTATCCTGCATCCACATGTAGCATCTCAGCAGCTAGGAGCGAACAAGTTTGTCCCTTAATTAAGTAGGCGGGCTAAAAAAGAACGGGCCTATGAATAGAACCTCTCGTGTTATCCTCCACATCTCCTGGGTAGTTTGAGCACTTCCGAGCCGACGCGGCAGGCTTCACTGGTGGTTGGGGAGCCTAGCGGCTAAGCGTGCTTGGTGTCGCCACCAGGGCGCGCCTTCGGGCACCCGGCGAAGTCTTAAGGCCGCGGCCATTTCGGAGGAGCAGCGCTTGCTGGATGAGAAGGAGGTCAGCTGGTTCCGAGACACCAATTTTCTGCAACACTATGTCATCACTATGTCACATAGTGTATCAGCAAGTCTTGCAGGGTTTGCCTTTGACTTGCTGAGTGCTTTCAAAAGAACCAGTGCCAGAGCGCAAGGCTCGAAGTCAGACTTGTGCAGGTTTTGTCTTTTCTGTCCTTTCTTGATCAGCCGAAGCACACCATGCCGGACATCTCCAAATCCGACATCTCACCCAACCTGGACCGCGACAAGATGTTCAACGAGCTTTGGTGGTTGAACTATTGTTTCTGCGAAGGGGTTGGCATCGGTGCAGTTGGCAATCCATTCTTTGGAGGAGAGGCTGTTAATATTTGCTTGCACTCCAAATGTACCTTGGCTGCTTTCCGTCGATCCACCAGCTTTTTCATGTTTTGTCTAATCAAGGCTGCCTTTGCTTTACCCATTTTCCGAAAGCAAGACATACTCCTGCATGTTTTGATATTGGCAAACACCACCTTCTACTTCGGTTGCTTGATCATCCGAGCTGTGTGAACAAGGTGAGATGACTGACATCGGGGATCCCTTCTGCTCCAACATCCGCGTTTGCCTATGCCTCACGGATCAATGCTCTCTTCCCCCAGCGCCGGGCTCCCCCATCTGCGTTTGCTTCAACAAGAAGCTTGCAGGTGATGATGGTTGGAGTGGACAGCAACTCTTCGACTGGAGCACGAACTTTGGAGACACATTCTGGCTCTACTACATTTTCTGCATGGGTCTGGGATTCTCTGCTCCTCAAGCCAATGGCCGTCCGTTCTTTGCTGTGCAGACGAAGGAACTGTGCATCAAGGGTGGAACCAAGCTGGCTATGCCGATGGAGGGTGGAAAGCTGTGTTCCGCTGTGAGCACTCGCCTGTGCTTCTGGGATCAATGTGCTATGCCGCCAGCTGAGGGGGCTCCCATGTTTGTGTGCTTCAACTTGCTGAACCCCAAGTCAGGGGCAAAGCCACTGGCCTATGGATCTTAGATTGTGGCTACGTCAAAGCTGGGACTTCAAGACAGGTCCTTTTTTAGGCTGCCTTGGTCGAACACCACTGTATTGGCTGAATACGCCTCTCACAGTGCCCGACCCAGCGGCAGCTTCGCACCACAGTAACTGCCTTTCTGAGGGGTTTGATTTGGGTCAGCCCTGAGGAAGCTGAGGCGATCCTTGAAAAGCAGAATCAATCCAGTCATGCAAAGTCTTAAAGCAACAGCTAGCACTTCATGGTTCTTACAGACTTGCATGTTTCGCTTCCTATTGTCATCTGTCCAGGCAGAGATCGAACTGGTGTGCACCTCAAGCTCTCGCAATTCTTGTCCGACTTGTATCTCAAGTACGCACCTTCCAGTTGCATCACAAGACCTGTCCTTCACCAATGAAACCGTAAAATTTGGCACTACTATCGTAGTGGACAAAGTCAGTCGTTTGTCATAGCGGTATGGCGGATCACCAGATCAATTCTGTGAGCTCTACTTGCAACTTCACCGCAACGCCACCCGCCGGCCGCGGGGTGTGATGTATCAGTTTTGTCTTCTCGGAAGATACTAATGACGTCAGATTTCATCAACGTGGTCTCCTCACATAGTCTTCTCTTAGACAACTAGTAAGAAGGACGCTATTAGTAACAGAGGACATCGCTACTAATTAGTAACAAGGACGCTACTAGTAGCTCCTGGCGTCGCTACTAGGAGCAAGAAGCTACTAGTAGCTCCATCCTCCCCAAATGCCCTGATTGGAGAGTTCTTGCTGCCTAGGCGGAAGCGGAACGAGCCGAAGCACAGCTAGCCTGGGTCGGTGAGCCAAGAGCAAACGAGTTGTAATCTTAAAGATCGTTTCACCCGTGTAAGTTTGTATTCTTCGTGGACTAGGCTGGACCTTATTTGTATTTGCTCGGTCACCTTTTCAGCCTGACACACTTTGAATTGAACATAAACACATGATGCCCCACAAGTTGGTTTGGTTGAGTTGCATGTGTGTCACGGAGTAGTGCATTAGCAAAGAACCCAGTTTTCTTCTTTTGCGTAGGTCCCTGCATGGAATACGGATGCTCACCCCCTCTGACAATGTATTGGATTAAAGGGTGCCATGGTTGAAAGGACATCAAAGGGAAAATGGACATGTAGGGTTGGCCGCTACTCTCGCAGGACGTCCTGCTCACTTTTGTATCCGCAGCAAAAGTTCAATCAATCTATCAACTATCAACCCATCTAGGTATCGACAAAATAGGAAAGAATATAATGACAATCAAGAGAAGACAACAGCAATGTCTAGTGCAGCTCATGCACATTTCCCAGTCCCAGTCGCCTAATTACTCAATTAAGTAAGGAGGCAGGGCCACGGGCAAATTTTTTGTTTCCAGGTCCCATGTGTCTACCAGTGACGCAGGGACGACGACCGCTGAGGGCGCGGCTCGGATTGCGGAGCTGGAAGATTTGACCAGGGAAGAGAGAGCCCGCGCTTTGTCTTGCAATGGGGAACGGAAAAAGGTTCCAGTTGGAAGGGCAGAGTAACAACCAGATTCTTTTTGGGCAAAAAGCTTGTGATAGAATATGTGGAAAGTTTGATCCAGGCAATGAAAGCTACAGTAACTTAAAGCTCCGATGCTTGTTCTGCCCTGTAAAGCTTGAGGCGTTGACGAGCTGGAGGAGCCTGTAGACGTTGAGACGCCGGCAGAAACAACGACGGCTTGAAACTGCCTGCTACGATTTTGCTTCAGAGGAGCAGGCAAAGTCTTGGAGCCAAGATCGTGGGAAGCTGACCTGAGAGTAGAGGAATAGCTGGGGTAAACCAAGAAAAAAAGATGAACAAAGGAAGGTAAAGCCTCTTGAAAGGGGCCTTACCTTCCTTTATCATTCTGTCCTTCCTTTGCTTTTATTCAAGACAGACAGGAGTTGCATTAAACACGACCCTGTGTATTTTGCTCGGCCTTCACTCCAGTGCAAACCTGTGTGGCCCTCCGTCTTGAGGCAATCAGTCGGCCGTGTCAAGCGAATCCCGATGAGGGATGGACTTGATGCAGAGCGCCGGAGTGAACAAAGAGAACACGGAGCCATCTACCAGTAACAAGGGCATCGCTATAGGGGCTCCTGGCATCGCTACTAGGAGCAAGGACGCTACTATGGGCTCCTGGCCTTACTACTAGTAACAAGAAGCTACTAGTAACAAGTGCATCGCGACTAGTAACAAGAAGCTATTTGTTACTAGTTACTAGTCAAGACTTGTTGACAATGAGAGCTCATGCAGTGAAGGTTGGACCAATCTAGTGCAATTTAAGGGCTCATGTCAAAAGTCAAGACTTATGACAATGAGGCCTCAGGCAACCCATTTAGGTTTCCACCAGTGAAGGGCCCATCAAAGCAAGAGAACTCATGCAGTCCAGGTCTCATCTTCTGAATGGCCAAAGTTGATGCAATCCAGTTGAGGCTTCAACCAAAATAGAACATATCTGGAAAGAAATCCTGAGGGTTTTAACTGTTGGAAACTTCATTGTTAAGCAAAGGATTTCTCCAGGATTTCCAAGGGATTTCCTTAGACTGGTTTCAGGGGTTCATAGATTGAAGAATACCCCTTTTGAAGAATGTCCCAATGTCGCACAATGATAGTAGTAATGCACTTGTTTCTAGTAGCGATGCACTTGCTACTGGTAGCAATGCACTCGTTGCTAGGCCTCTTTGCACCATTGTGTGCAAACATGAGAAGCAATTGAGCTACTACATTAGTAGAGTCGAGCCTGGTGCCCCTGAAGATGCTGTTGTGGCTTAGGAGGTTCCAGCATGACAGCAAAACGCCTCACGCCCATGCGACTTTCACGTGAGCAGAAGCCATTAAATACTACATAATGTCGCAAGAACTGCTTGACCTCGCTGTAGAAAGACCACCAGTAACTCGAAGAGCACCCTTGAGTAGACTGTAGCTTACAGCTGCTGAAGTTGCTGCAAAGTGCTGAACACGGTTCTCTTCAGCGTCTTCACCCTCAAGAGGTGCCATGGGTGCAAGGACCTCAGAGTTTTGGTCGAGCTTCGTGGAGCTTGGTGAAGAGAACGCATGGCGTTGCGTGGATCTGAGGCCTCTGTGTGTCATGGAGATTCCTTTTGTGGTCTTGGAGGCTGGAGAAAGCCACATGAAGACTTGCCAAAAGTCCCGTGCAAGTTTTCATGAACAGATGACAACAATTCTTTTGCGGACGGGATATTCAAAACTTCCGTAAGAAGCGGCACGCAAGATTTTACGCCACTTCACCATGCTAGAAAAACCGCTAGATTGGCGCTAGATTGTCATACCCAGGAGTACCTTTGGTAGAAAGAATGCCTTGATGGGTCTCAGAGGGCATGTGTTTATGTGTTTATGTGTTTATTGAAAAGACCCAGCGCCACTAGGAGGCTAGCATTTCAAGGAAAGATGCTGGAAGGGATTTCATGCTGCAGAGATTTGCTGGCATGCAGTGGTAATTTAGCACTTGATCCGCGCTAGCACGGTGCTAGCAGGAATTAACCAGAATTGTCCCGTAAAGGCCACCTGCCTTTCAAGGTGCGGGTTTGACAACTTGTAACCGACATGCCCTTGGAAACAACAGTGCAAGCAAGAAAGCAGCTCTTCCGGTGGCACAGAAGGGTTGGTGGTGGCTTGTTTTGCTGAGAGTGGTGAAACTTTCTCGATAAACATGGTCAAAAACCACGTCTGGAGAGCAGATTGGGCTTGTACTTATATTTGCGATAATGAAGCTGCACGCATGGAATTGCGATTTAGCACCGCATATGAGAACAGCCATATTGACAAGCCACCACATCCGTGCAGACGAGGCTTCTTTTTGCTTGTGGTCTCCGGGCCAGTTGTGTCAATACAGACCTGGACAGAAGTTCTTCCTGCCTTGTTGATCTCTCCAACTTGCTGACTTTGGATCACTTGCGGAGGGTGTGATTTGGAGGTGGTTTTCCCTCCATATTATGGGGCGACCTTTTTGGGGATTGACTCCTAAGGTATCTCTTTGTCCCCCATGGTGGCCCATGGTCTCGTGTTTCACGCGAGGAACGACGCAACAGAATGAGATGAGACCGAAATCCTCGAGGAAAGACTTCTACGAGACCTCTGGCACCCCCAAGGTGGGACGAAAGGAGTCGGGAGGTCTTTGGCATGCAAAGGCATGGATAAGATCGAGATGCCTCTACAGTTTGGAAGGTATCAATGTTTGTTCAAGCCAAGCGACAGCTGAAACAATATGATTATGTATGTATATACAGTATTATATGTACTGTAAGTCGATTGAGGGCTGGAAGCAGAGCTGAAGCAGAGAGTTTGGAGCGTTGGTTGGTTTGATTTGTTTTTAGGTGTCGGACCTCACCTTATCAGCTTTGCAGAGAAATTAAGAAATCAGTGAGTTGGTGCATCACCCTACGACACAGAACTGGGGTGATTCGAGGGCTTTGATTGTTGATGGTAGCGTAAACTTGCGAAGTGGTGCTGCTGTAGGATACAAGCCTTCCTGGTCATGAACGAACATGGTCTCAAGTCAATCGAAAGGCTTTGGTGGCCTCTAGGCAGACTATGGTAGACTACTACATTTTGTCACCCTCAAACCCTCAAAAGAGAACATCGGCACAAAGATCCACTCAAAGCTCGATGTGTTGGTTGGCGAAACCAAACAGGTCCCCGGTGCCATTTCTTTTGGTCCATCGGGGACAGACCACGATGGACCACGATGGAGTGGAAAACCGCATCTAGTGCCTTGGGCACTTCGTACCTCCATCTGTGTGAACCGACCTGGCACAGGGTTTTCACTTGCAAACCAATTTTTTGAAGCAACGCACATTTTGGGGCCACAGTGGCCATGGACGTCCTTGAAGACCGACCGAAACGCAGGTCTTTGGTGGCGCTGCTGGTGCTGACGGGGCAGTGATCCCGCTCGAGTTCTTGCCGTGACGGAAGATTTGAACCCCATTGTAAAACATTTTATTTTCATTTCGGGGGACAGAAGATCCCGAGACCGTATTAAAATTTGTCAGCACTCGTCTGCGATGGGATGTTCATGCTGCTTCTTCCCAAGCTGGCCATTTTTGTGACACCAACTCTGGGAGACGTTCACACTTCAGGTGATTGAATTGATTCTGTTGTCCTGTATATATAGATCCAGGAAAGGCCGCAAAGGCCTCATTTCTGTTCATGTCTTGATAGAAAATGCATGTGGCAAAGGGGGTGCTGCAGTCTTTCGCCAGGATGCGGTGCCCAGCTCTGTTCGATTGAAGGACGGGCAACAGATCCTTGGACAAAGAATCATTTTCGGTGATGTTGGCTGAGATCGAGAAGGGATGGATAAGATGGCTGGACTACTCCTGTTTGGCTGTAAGTGAAGGACGTCCATATTTTGCAAGGGGTTGAAACATGCTGCAAGCACCGGTCCACCCATCTCCCCACAAACCATCTCACCGCAAATCTGCCTAGGCACACTTCAGCTGCCACGTCGAACCTGGGCCTCAGCAAGAGTCCCAGTGAAGGATAATATCTCCAGTGGTAGTGCTAGAAGAGCTGGCTGACCTGAGTCACTATTCAACAGCTGTCAGTGGACAGAGTCGGACAGTGCTTCTATTTTCCCTTGGTCGGGAGGAGGGCCAAAGGCCTCACGGTCCGTTGCGCCGTTGCGCGCGCGCAACTCCGGTCAAACTTCGACTCAAGGCGTGGAGCCTGCGCGAGGCTGGAGTCCGCCTGTGTGGCATGGAATTCTGACCCTGAGCGGTTTTCGATCGGTTCAGCGCCTCGCTCCTAGGAGCAAGAGGACGCTACTAGGGGCTCGTGGCATCGCTACTAGGAACAAGAAGCTACTAGGAACAAAGGGCATCCCTACTAGGAACAAGGACGCTATAGACCGCATGCGGCGCGGGAGGCGCTCCCGACGCGGGTGCCGCTGATTCACTGGCCGTGCGGTGGCCCGGCGGTCGTAGGCCACCTAAGGAGTTTGGATCTCCGCACCGCCTTTTCAAATCTTTTTACGACTTGACTTTCGGGTTACTTTGATTTTTTGTCCGTTGATCGGATCCTTCAAAATTCTTCGATTGAACATGACCTGGCTCTACTCTACTCCTTGATTGGGCCTCTGTGGACGTGCCTTTGCATGGATACAAACAACGTCTGAACCTGCTCCAGTGATCTCCAGTAGGTCGAGTAGGGGTGGCTGGATTTTGCTGGCCAGTGAGTCATGCTTATCATTTTGGACAGCAAGTCTGGGATTGAGGGGTTTGTGATGGGGTTTGAACCCACTATGTCACTATGTATATAGTCATTTGCAAATCAGGGCCCATTTTGTTGGCTCTTTGACACCTACATGGGCAATTGTGGCCTTCTTTTTGTTGTTGTTGTTGTGGTTGTGTATGTGTATGTGTATGTGTATGTGTATGTGTTGTTTGTTGTTGTTTGTTGTTGTTGTTGTTGGTTGTTGGTTGTTGGTTGTTGGTTGTTGGTTGTTGGTTGTTGTTGTTGTTGTTGTTGTTGTTGTTGTTGTTGTTGTTGTGTATGTGTGTGTAAAACAGAGCTGCTGATGTTGTCATCCCGTTTGAATGTCATCCTGTGCATGATGCGATCATGTAGATGTGGATGTGGTTCAACAGCCAACCCACCTTTATGCTGCACTTTTTGTGCTCCTTGAAAGGCCAAACATGCACGTGGAAGTGTTCCAGCCCTTGTGATGTTTTCTGCATGAAGATCACCAGAAGCAATCTGCCATGTCTCACCCAGAAGTGTCCCGTTCGTGACAGAACATGGTCCCAACTACTGTATACATTTGCTTAGCATTGATGACTTTCACACGTGGGACAAGCATGCTTTTCGTCCCAAATGAGCAGGACGATGGGGTCATTGAGTCACTGGCCGCCAACTACTTCCTGCGGGAGGTGGCTCTGAGATGGATTGGACGGAAGAACACCACAAAGATTAGATTCAACCCATGGCACATGCCTCAAAGATATGATTGGAGTACACATGGGTACATTGAACATGGGAGAATTGTCCAAGGTGTGTGAGAAGGTTACAAAACCATTGGGATCCATTATTGGGCAGTATCTCTTAGGTCAGTTCTTCTTCAAACATATGAACTTCAATCCGATTGCCGATTGAAGCAAAAGGATGATGTCAAGATCAATGCACCAGTGACATCCAGTGTGCCAGACCCGTAAGTTCAACATGCTTTTTGGAGGACATCGGGTGACCCGGCTTGGGAGCAACATTTCGGGAAAAGGTCTCGCCGACCAGTTGAGGGCGCCTGGTCTTCTGGACCCTTTCCTCATTCGATGGGCTGGAGGGACTCGGGGTCCGGACAAACTCGGGGCCACGTGGAATGACATTTGCAGACCTGAGGCCCCTCACCTGTTGTCACTTGCGACAACTTGTTGGGATGAAGGATCCACTTCAGCACCCCCAAAATGCGCATTTTGGAGTTTCCTGAAACCACTCCCACTTAGAGAGGAGCTGTTGGGTAGGTGTTTTGGTGGATCAGGCGGCTGAGCTGCAGAGTATCCAGCACTTCGGTGGAGGTCCTTTAGTGTGCGGCACTCAGAGGGGTTTTGATGCGGAGCTGAATTGGACATCTTCGCTGTCGCTCAGAACCATGATGGGCTGTGGATCACAGTGTCACGTTCAGGGAAGCATAGGGCACCGGCAAAGCAGTCTTTTGCAGGTTTCAATGTACCTTTATAAATAGGACGACTGACTCACATCCTTCCGACTGGAACACGACTTTTGTTTGGCCGTCAGCGTTGGTTGATGAGATTGGACCCAAAAAGCATCACTGTAATTACAAGTCTAATCCAGGTACAAACGGTTATCTACAATGGCATGGGACCCGTTGAGGATTCAGGTATGAATGCTTGGAGCCACCCCGAGGCGGGCCCGAAAGAGGCATATCTTCAAGACGGGCGCTGTGTACGATGGGTGCGAAACTTAGCCTGGGATGTTCTTCTGAGACAGAAACTGAGCTGCTCGCACCACCAAACACATAGAGTGGTAAAAGAAAGTGAACGGTTGGAGGCCATCGCTACTAGCATTTGTGGCCAGGTTAGTTGACATTGTGAAGTGGATCAAAACATGAGTGTAGCGACCGGACTGTATAATCAGTACCTCGCATGTTCCTTTGACAAGTCTCTTTTCATGTTAGGGTGTTGTGTTGAAAGTTGTTTGGGTGAACTGACTCCGAGACATCTCATGATATTCTTCAAGCCGGAGGGCATGACAGAATATTTGGAGATCACTGACTCGCGACTCATGCAGCCAAATCATCAATCTTTCTAGCCATTAGACTTTTGCACCCACATAGCTTGTAGGCTGGACGCAATTCTTCAGTTGTCTTTGAGTGACCGCCCCATTTTTTGGGTCGGCTACTGCCCTGCAATGTCCTTTTTCCAACTGAGGTGTGTTTACAGTTTCAAACATGATGTGTCAAATTGCCCTAGATGACGCATGACGCCAGTTGAAGCAAACACATGCAAACATACTAAAGGATGCGCATGCTCAATGGAAGAACTCTTCCAATGGTAAAGCTGGGAAGGCAATGGCTGGGCAATGCTCGAGATGGCTTTGGCCGACAAACCTGGCCGGACGGTGCCCTGCCGATCGAGTGATGGGGTGGTCCATGGCAGGAGTTTGTTGCTGTGGAGGCTCCAGAACACAATATTTGTCAAATTCTTTTCGATTCTATGGTCAAACTCTTTTTCGAAGACTATGACCTCCATTGACATCCGAATTGTATCCTAACCACCCTACAAGCAGAAGCCGATTCTTAGAGGATGATGAAGGATGTATACAAATGATGTAAAACTGCTTTCTGCTACAATGTTGCCAGCTCAATTGGCATCTTTTTCAATCTCACTGTCGGCATTGCTGTCCCGAACGCATGAAAGAAGGATGGCGAACAAAGGCCTGTGGTTCACAGCAGTTGTGGTCAACAATGAACCATGCCTTCTCATTCAATCCACGCACTAAACTACACGGGCGCATGACAGTCAGGAAATGGCGATCTCTTTGGACAAACCACCCACAACTGTCCTTGAACATTTAAGGTGCAGAGTATGTTGGAGAGTGGAAAAACAATGTGGTGCTGCGAGCTTAGCTCATGAGCCATCATTTTCGCACATATGCTCTCGCTGCGATGAGACTTGAGCCGTTGTTCTGACAACACCAGTGTGCGTCAATATAGCAATTCAGTCTCCACTAGACTGTACCACCAAACCCCAGCCTGTCAAGAGCCCATTTTTTTTGGATGAAGCCAAGAAAAATATCAGGAGGGGAAACAGGACAACTCACAGCCGGTTGATTCGAGTACAGGATTATGAATATGAGGAGGCTTGATGACGATCAAGAATGAGGATATATTGGGTCATATAGATCTTTCCTCTCCCAACCCGATCCGACCGAGTTCGGAGTTCAGGACGGGGATGGGCTCCTTTGCTCATGGTGATGGAGATCGATATGTGGGCCAGTGGAGGCGATTCTTGCTGGCGGCCTGGTGGGTGGGTTGGTTTGGGCAGGTGGTGCTGAGAAAAAGATGTTCAAACAATACCATGCGGCGATGATCCTGATAGCTGATATGTTCTTTTTCTCGTTTGATCCTGATTGCTGGGATATGTTGGGTGACAGATGGCGAGCAAACATGTGTGCAGCAATAGAATGGCAGCTCTTGGGAAGTGCCCTGAAGTCATTTGGTACACCGGGTGGTGTAGTCGGCAATAGTCAGTGAGAATCATGACCATGTGTCTCTTTTCATTCAAAGCTGTCCGCTGGCAAGCGCCATTCTGGCTCAGAGCCTTCAACAGAGCACCTTTTTTGCAAAAAACATTGACATGGTGAATCAGAGAACTTCGACCAATTCACTGGCAGAGCAAAGCAGAGCCTTGCTAAAGTGGTACTGGTGGCCTGTGTAAAGGACGATTCCTCCACGACATTGTAAGAGGCAACTGCTGAAGATGGTGCTCGCGATGGAGCGCCCCTTAAAGAATGCCGGCCACACAGGAGTTCTTTAGCATCGTTGTGGGTGTATTGGTGTTTGGTCTTGAGATGTCTTGATCCACATCTTGATGTTTGCGCTTAGGCAGTGAACAAGTTTTTCCGGGGCAAAGAGTCGAGTCCTCAGATCTCTCAATCCATCAAAAGTTTCAACCTTCAAACCATCTACTGTAATTCGTTACTTAAATCTCTTTTGTTTAATTCAAGGTGTCTCCATAGTCGCTAGGCAGTTTTGGGTGGATTTGTGGTTTGGTAGACTGCGCCCGAAAGTTCTCAAGCCACAAGGCTCCCTGAACCACACTGGAGTCTAGAGCCCATGGAGAAGCTTCATCAAAGGTCAGTCAAGCACCCTCGCTTTCCCTTGCCTTGCCATCGCTTCTAGGTAGGGGGGCAAAGCGGTCTTTTAAAAAGTCCTTTGCTCCTAGTCCTAGTAGCTATTTGCTCCTAGTAGCGATGCCAGGAGCCCCTAATAGCGTCCTTGCTCCTAGTAGCGATGCCCTTTGCTCCTAGTAGCGTTCTTGCTCCTAGCAGCCAAATGCCGTGCCTTCCCACGGTCGGGCGTACATGGCAGAAAGTCTCAGGCCATACCAAGTTCTTCGCTCGTTGGCCCTCTTCTTGGTGGCAGCACCTCCGGCGCTTCTTTCAGCGTCAAGAAAGAATCATTACATGAATTTGTATAGAGTACACAAATAATATACATGTGTCTTGAAAGAATCATGAACCCACATGATCATTCTTTTTTTGCAGGGTTGCGTCCACGATGTGTCCATGAAGCCTCTGCCCATGACGTTGTGTCCCCCTTCCAGGCCAAGTTCATTTCTCGCCTGCAGCAGATCATCAGGCGTGAAAAACGGATAGGTCTCTTCCACCTGCATGGAGGGCTGACCGGAGCATATGTGGAACACATACAAAGGCTTTGGGCTTCCGGAGCAGAAAGATAGAGCAGAGCCTGGTGATGGAATTTCGGAATGGTCTGTTTATCAGTGATGATCTTTGGGCTTCAGAAGAAGAAGGAGAAGAAGGAGAAGGAGAAGAAGGAGAACAACTACAACAGCCACAATCACAACCACAACCATTGGCTACCTTTCTTGCCTCAGAGATGATAATTTCAGGCCTAAGAGCTGGGACACAGCCCCTCACCTTTTGACCCATGAACCGAAGGCACCAGGGCTTGAGGTCCTACTTGCTGCGCTCAGCTCTCGGCGGGTGTTGGGTGTTAGGCGACCCAAAGCAATCAGGTCGTTTCACCAGTTGAGGCCAGCTACTCATATTTTGCTCTACTTACCAAACCGTATATGCATTGTTGGGACTTGATAGGGGACCACAACAAGTCAGTCGAAAACCGAGACCTTCACCCGAAAGGGGATTACCAATTTTCGAAAGTGGAGAGTCATTTTTGACAGCTCAGTATACAGGATTGAAGATTTACGTAGCGCTTGCTGAAATGGGTCGCCAGACTTTGCTGCCGTTTGAGTTTGGAGGAGTGTCGTGGAGGCCACCTCTCATGACCATCATCTGGTCCTGAGGCTGCCTCACACCCTACTTGAAGAAGCTTCCGATGGCTGGGGCCCTGAATGTTCAAGTGCACTGGTTTCCAAGGAGAACACATTCGCGAGTAACAGTTGTCAAAGCCCTTGAAGACACGGTAGGAGACACGGTAGGAGACGTTTGAAATGGGACTGCAGGGGCTGCCGGGGTCTTTGCTTCTATGACTGGGACACCAACCTCAGCTCCAAGCTCCAAGCCACCCTGGGTTGATCAAGGCTTTCCTTTTTTGGAACAATTATACGCAGAAGTTGGACAATGACAATTAGATGTCTTTTTTTGGGAGAAGATCCACATGTTGGTTTGGCTTAAGAGGCCCTTTGACATCGTTTGTTTTGTGGTCCGAGGGTTCTACAGAGTGACAACCTTGCTTCCACACTGAAAGGAAACTCAAGAGACCCTGGCGAAGCTGTAAGGTCCGAGCGAAGCTCGACAAGGAGATGAAGAAAACCATGTCGGAGCTGAGAGCGAAATTTTCGCAGGACGGGTGTCAGAGGTCATGCTGCGAGCACTGCCGTTGTGGCAGGAGTTTCTTTTTCTTTAATGCTATAATTTTGTCAGCAGACTCTCAAGTGGTACCATCAGGGTTGCGTGATCCAATGCTGTTCCCAATATTGTCTCCACTCAGTGTCCGATCATGAAGAAACTGCGTGCGTCTTGATCTCGGCTGACAGAGAGAACGCAAGGAAGAGAGGGATATATATCTCGGATATCTCCAAAAGCTCGTGATAGCCGGTGCTGCTCGTGCCATGGCATTGACGGTCTCTGGTTTGTTGACCAGCGATGACTATGAGCACCGAACCTGTGGAATGCATCGTGGATTGCTCGAGCATGTTCGAGCGGCCATGCAAGCGTTGCCGGATGTTAAACTCGCAGAAGACCTCTGCCAGAAAGTCTTGGAATTGCTACCAGAAGGCAGGATGATGGTAGGATGTTTCCGAGGTGATTGATTGCAATGCATGCCACCCGAAATCTTTGGACTGCATCGATGTGATAAACCCGGATCATGATTCATGATAGCCTTTTTGGAATGATGAAGATGATATGTTAAAGCTCGCAGAAACATTTTTCTCTTTTCTGCTGATATTTTCGTTTTTGAACTAAGCCGAAAGGCGATGCGGGAGTGATGCTTTCACCTGCCATGGGCAAGCCTTTTGCTGAAGCCACACGGGGTGACTCCTCTGCGCCAGCTGTTGTGGTGTGGCTCCTGCCAGACCCCACGGACGTAGATTCAAAACAGACCACCTTCGTGCGAAGCGACGTCAAGAGTTTGGAGGACACTTTCAGTGCCATGTACAAGCTTTCGCTTCAAGAAGATGCTAAACCTGAGTGAAATTATCCTTCACCACCGGACTTCTCTCAGCTTGGCCAATGGCTGTGTCTACTATACCTCAGTGTGGTCAACCATCCTCTACTTGTACCGGCCACAGCAAAATCCGGTTATCTCTGCTGGATCTGCTTCTGCTGCAGTTTGCCCAAGGACCAACCTGGCGCCAGCCTGACTTGAGTGCGGCTTGTACAGAGAGAAGCCGAACTAGCCAGCCAAAATCCGGGAAAGTGCCAAGGGAGAACCTCCATGGGACATGCCCTGCTTGATCGAACACCTGCCTTTGTGTTGGGAGAGCCTTTAGGGGTTGAGACGGAACATGGTCTTCCTTTAATTCCGATGGTCTTCTTGATGGGCTCGTCAAGAGAATTTGTCCTGCAATTATTTTACTTGCAGGCTGAATCTATCCTGTGGACACCATAAAAAGACGGTTTGGGTTTGACTGAAGCTTGTGCTCCATCCATCGGACGCACATGAGAGAAGCTGACATTGGTGGGCCAACATCTGGGATGCACTTCCGCATACCATCGAGGGTTGACTGGTTGCATAAAATGCTTGAAGGATGCACACAAGGACATGAATCATGCAATCCGGAGAAGACTATGTTGAGACTATGCTTGAGTTTCTGTGTGTTGTTCCCAACACTCAATGATTTCTAGATTCTAGATCACATCCATCCACGTCTTAGTATGATCAGCGAGGAACTCACAAGTCCTTGTACTTCGCTCCCAAGCAAGGGCATGGAGCCGGAGGCGCATCTTTGGGAGTTGTTGCAACAGGTTGGGAGGGTTCCCTGGTGTTCGTCGTGCCAGGGGAGGGGGATTGTGCTAGATTGTTGAACTCTTTTAAATGCGAACTCCAACAATTTCCTGGAGGGTCCACTGAAAATGCGATTGTTTAGTCGTTGCAAGCCTCGGGGTCCAACTCCACTGATTCCGAAGCACATTGATGTAAGACGTGGAAAGCATGTCTTTGCATGTTTGATGCAACCTGTTTGTGATGGTCACAGATGGTCACCGAATTCGTCCGAATCGAAGCTTGAGGGCTACGGTCCAAACGCATCCTTGCCGACAATTCCCATTTTGCAGCCCGGACACACCAAACACTCCCTGCTCTTCAGGGACTTTGGCGGTTCTGTTTTGGTGGCAACAAGTCCAAAACCTTTCGAAGAACCCAATGCAAACCCTTTCCAAACATATCCCTATCAGATAGGGCCTATCTATCTACCATCTACTGAATCTACCGCTGAACTAGTTTGCCCGAGGAGCTGTTGAAACTCTTGGATCGTCGGAAGGAACTGGTCTGGCCGCCCAAGGAAGGCTTGAAACGACACGACTATTTGAGGTCCATTACAGGGGCTCCTGGCATCGCTACTAGGAGCAAGGAAGCTACTAGGGGCTCCTGGCCTTACTACCAGGAACAAGGGCATCGCTACTAGTAACAACAATCTTAGCTGATGTATATCCCAAGGCCGCACTGATGTGAGAGAGACAATATCACTGGAACACGAGGGTCATCTTGCATGCTCTATTCTTGCAAGGAGGGAGGATGTAAGGACTTTTTGGCCTTGACTGTTCTGCGATGATGGGCAGATATCAGGTGTGCCAAGC